TTCGAGCACATTTGGACAATTTCCGTTTCGATTTGGAGCTGCGAGTGCCTAAGAGCTTTCTCCTGTTTCGTCGGACGGGTTAGTTAATTGCGATTCGAGCCATTTGCATTTGCATTTGCCGTTGTCAGACATATTCAACAGACAGCAGACAACAGAAAGCGGGCACAGCTGGCAGGCTGGCTGGCTGGCTGGCTGGCTGGCAAGCTGTTGCCTACGATGCGTTGAATTTACCCAATTGGCAAATTTCCTCATTGATTTGCCAACAGACCACGATGACGAGGGCAGACAACGACACGGCCCGAGCAGCCAGCCGAGAGCAGAGCCTGAAGACAGAGGGCTGCATGGCCCCATCTGCAGCTGGCTTCTCGCATTTTGATCTGTTTTTGTGGGATTCAGTGAGAGGCATAGGATTGATACATGTAGCCCAAGTGGCAACGGCTGATGTGGTGGTGGGGTGGTGTGGTGATGCGGTGATGCGGTGGTGTGCGCTGCGGTTGGCAACTTGCAAAACTACGCAAAACATTTTGTAAATTGAATTTGTGTTTTGAGTTTTATGCGCCGCACACAAAATGTAATTGAAATAAGTAAATATCAATTGAATATCCGCCAGCGGGCGGCAGGAAGTTTATGGAAGGCAATGAAATTATTTGTTTGCCTAGTTGATGCGGCATTGATGTTGTTGTTGTTGTTGGGCTTGTAACAACAACTTACAAAGTAAACTCTTTGTGGCAAAGTTTCCGTTGCGGCAGGTCCAAATCAAAATCAAACGCATTGCAGACATTTGCCTTCAGGCATTAGCAAATAAATCTGTGCGGGGCAGGCAGCTTATGAAAAGTGCTTGTAAATTACAAGAGATATGCCACTCATAAAACTGATTTATGCCAAGCACAATAGCAACAAACAATGCTCACGTTCGACGCATATCGTGCTAAAATTGCGCTGCTCAAAAGTTAAACAGCGAGCCGACTGCCAAAATAAATGGCACGTTTATCATACGCCCAGTGGGCCCAGTGCGTTCAGCAATTTGGCAGCAGTATTTATATACCACAAGCACGCACACACATGCCTATACTACATATATACTGATGAGCATATGAACAGTTTGTATATGTCACGCCCCCCTCCGTCTGTCGTCTGCCTCCCGCCCGCCTCCCCCGTCATTCCTGGCCTGACGCACTGGCATACTTAGACTTTGGCTATGTTTTGCTTGATGTTTTCGCGTTTGCTTTTCAATTATATAAACATATTTAGATTATGTTCAGTTAACACTCACACGCACGTACACACACACACACACAGTCGCAGCTGTTGTGCGTGTGTGCATTAAAATTATAAATTGTTTGCTCAGCAAAAAGCAGSCAAATAAATAAATTCAAACGGAACGAAACAAAACGAAACGAAAAACAAAAAGAAAAATAAACGCCAAGCGCATAAATAGCTGACCAAAATCGAATAGAACCGAGCGAGCGGCGAGCAGCGCTTGGAGCCAACGCGTCGTATGCGCAATGGGCGGCCGCTGCCTTGGGAGAGCTGCAACAAATGAATGAAAATCAAGTGGCCGCAACATGACATTGAATTGTTTTTGACTCGTTTTGTCACACCTAAATGCCGTAGCAATGCGAAAAGTATAGGCTACATAAATATGCGTGCCTCATTTGTAATTGTGTGTGTGTATGTGTGTCTGATGACGCTTGTGAATTATTTTGTGTGGTCTTTTTTGAGGCGCCAGCAGCGTTGACAGCTGTCAATGCTACAGACGCATAGGGCTACGGCCCAGCAGTGGGCTAAGGCAACGGCCCAGGGTCAGGCACTATCGCGGTGGAGCACCGATTCTTCCGAAATCTGCGCTGGCAATGCCAAGTTGAGCAAACATTGACCACATGTGTGTGGGTGGGTGTGCGTGTGTGTGTGAGTGAGTGTGGGTGGCTGCCGGCTTTGAGCCGCCGAAAATTCCATTAATGTGTTTGGCCAAATATTCAACTCCATCTCTGCACACGGCTTTGTGTGCGGCACTGTGTGATCGCTTACGCCTTGTTGCACTAATCGGCATGCCTCATTGGGCGCAACTATTGGCCTCTGTGCGTGTGTGTGTGTGTGTGTGTATGTGCCACGAAAATTAGCTAATCTATGCTGCTAACTGCATCAATATCAATTTCGTCAGCTACATAAATCCATTAGCAAATTAGCAGAGCCAACAACAGAGCAGCGGCGATGCGGTCAGCAAACTACGGCTAAGTCAACTGTAAAATTAATGGCTTGTGTCAAATCTCGCATGCCGCTCATTAAACACATTTTGCATTCTCAATTTGAGCCGTGCCGGAGTCACGTACCCGTGCGGTTGCCAGATGCCTGCGGCCAACTATAAAAATGACAAAAAAGACCACGTGCCTCATTAAGGACATGTGGCACGAGGCACGCTCGCATCGGACACACGTATCACAATTAGCTGACCTGCGGCTGGGCCAACATACACATACGGGCACACTGACGCATGTACACGCACACCCACGCATGCACTCACACACCCACCCACGCACATGCACCCACTCATATGACCCACAATGAAATTGATGAATCTGAGGAGGTGACAAGCGTTTGCGTTGGAAATCATTTGCTCTTAAGCTGCTGATTCATCATAGAGCTTATCAGGCTTTATGCAAAACACTGCAGCTTAGAAGACTTAGCTTGCTTTGAGTATAATAATCAAATAATAGTTATTATTACAGCTTTAGCTTAACTAAAACTTATGAAATTTAAAGGCTCTCACAGTATAAATTAATACGACGTTCAAAAGAAATAAAAATAAAAACCTAAACCAAAACTCTTATACAGAATAGTTACTGTTACTTACATTAATAGTTAAATAAGTAAAAAACAAAAGTAAATAAGTAAAAAAAAAAAAAAAAAAAAAAAACATTAATAACAAGCTGAAGCCAAAATAAAACTTCTGTATTTCATACATGTTATGATACCAAAAAATGATAATCAATAATAATTGACAAAAATAAATAAAATAAATAAATAATAATAAAAA